CCAACATTTGGGATCAAATCTAAAAGTTTTTTAGTGTTCTTTGTTGCATAGAAATTTCATACCTCGATATTTTAAGCTCGACGAGTTTATCTCGAATCTCCACAGGAATCTCGTTGTTTATTTCGTTGTTCAATAGCTTCAATTCTTTTGGATTGTATTCGCGTGGAGAAATCGTTTCAAAATTGCGCTTATCGTCATAATTTAAACATCGAAAATCAATGTAATCGGACATTGCTTGAGTTATCGGTATCCGTATCTGTAAATGAAGTAAATGAAGTCGGTAAAGTAATGATTACTGCTCACAATTCACATGGTACCTTCGAGACGTATTATAAAAAAAGAAACACTCACCAAAGTTGGAGAAACACTGAAAATTCAAGAACCAAAGTATTGAAAAAGTAGTAATACAGATCTTGCAATAATTTGGAAAATGGCTGGTAAAATTTCTAGGTGTTTTTGAATTGATAGCTCTCTTATCACGCATCAGGCTCGACAAATACACGTGATCAGACCCCACATGTTGGGCAAGGGGCAAGGGAAGCTTGCGGAAATCATTGCTTACCACATTTTATCTCGTTTTCTTCAAAGTTCGGAAGGTGTTCTTAAACATTTCAAATATTTTACACCAAAATAACGAGCCCGCTTCCGCGTTGGTTGCGTATTTATCTAGGCCAAGTCTCCGCATAACGTACGAGCACAGTCTAGTATGCTTAATCACTTTCAACTATTTGCCGGGCATAGGTTAAGACTGGCTGCCTGTTACCGGACATAAGGTAGACTGTAAGGGACATAAGGTAAACCTACCTCAACCACAAAAAAGTAAGTCACAAACACGTTCAAAAAATATTACCAATCGTTTGAGCGTGGTCGAAAACCCTAGAAAAGTTTACCAAGCCAAGTCCAGCTTGTTTACCAAGCTGAGCACATGCCTGTTTATTTATTACCACAAACCCTTCCATTTTATCACTTTAAAAATATTCAATATCAAGAGCGGCATCAATTCTTTGCGCAAAAGACTTGTCAACTCACCATAGAAAACCATTACCAGTGACGAGAAAAATCAAAAGAACAATGATTCGGCCTTTCAATTGTAGATTTAGATTTTCCAGCCAACCTTTGAATTCTCATTAACCAGTAAAAACATCGCAATAAATATAGTTGAATCTCTACCTTGTCAGACAATTGTTCGAGATCGGGAAAAGAAAGGAATACTTTTAGCTTTGCTTTCACATTCACGAACTGCGCGGCGCTCAATTAGACAAAAAGTTCCCCTATTAACAAGAAAGATTTAAAACCCACTTTAAAAAGGCTTATGGCAGCAAAAAAACAAAGAAATTTCTCTAATATCAAAAATTTGTCGTCTCCCCGGATCTTGAAATTTTGTTCCCCTCCCCGATACTAAAGAAGTACCCAAGAATCGATTCAGTTCCAGTTATTTGTTATTTATTATTTACAGTCAATGATTGTTTATTTCTCAACACCCCAGTTGGCACTCTCTAATGATTATTCGATCTTGGTTCGTTCAAATGCGGTTCCAACTGCGGTTCCGATATTGCGTCCACCTAGCCACGAATTGCACAAGATTGCAAGTCAACTGATGTGATTGATTTTTTTAATGTTTTAGTAACTTTCGAGATGAATAGTTTTATTCATATGAAATCATCGATTCAAATTGATGTTTGGTCACATTTGATACGTCGGAGTAAAGCCGTTACGTTGGCGGCGCTTATCAGCTCGGTGTTGACTGTCTTGAATCCTTCCAATAAACTTCGTTATTGATCGATTTTTTCTCTATAATTTTCTTTAATTTCCAATTTGATCGATTCAAACTGATGTTCAAACTGATGTGGTCACACACATGATTCCTTATAATTCATTAGCTTTCATTGTAAAAACTGTCATTGAACTGAACTTCTAATACAGTAGTCCACAAAAGTAATGCCCCATTGCCATCCAACAGTATGTTTTGTAAGGAAATCTTGCAAAATCGACATTTCAGAAAAAGAGTAAGGTATTTTTATCTACCTACAAGACTCGACTTTTCAAGGATATAAGATCTATCCGTATACATTACATACAAATTAAAGTATAAAACAAAACCAATCAGTTACTTGAAAATTAGCTCCACAAAAGTAATGCCCCATTTGCAAAGAATTAACACCATTTTTAAATCAATACTTGGTTGGTCCTCCTTTTGCTTTTATTACTTTATTGAGTCGATTCGGCATGGAATTCACGAGATTCTTCAAAAGACTTTGGGAAATGGTAGCCCAGAGATGTGAACCCATAAGGCAGCTTTCAAATCGAATTTCTTTCCCTTCACAAATGACCAGAGATGCTCGATAACATTGATATCCGGTGAGTAGGGAGGCGGATTGATCAATTTGACTCGACTTGCCGCAAACCAGCCCGGAAGTCGTGCTCGTGTACCATATTGAAGCGTCAACACCGTTCCCATCATGAGCCTTGACTTGTGTTTCGGGTCGTTGTCCTGGTAGAGCATCCATCCAGGAGGTATCGCCTGTGTGGCAAAAGGCAGCATTTGGGTCTCCATAATGTTCTTGTAAGCCACAGCATTCATCGTTGAGTTGATGTGAACTAATGGACCTACTGAAGTTCGTGACATCGCTCCATCGCATTTTGTCACCTGACCGAAAAACAGTCAGGTGACAAAATACTAAAAAGGCTCTTACCCCAACACATTATGTTGTTTCCATTGAATTGCACCGTAGGCCGAATGTACTTGAGTGTGTTTTGCTTTCCAGTCGGCCGCCGAATAAGATGGTTTCCGTCCGCGTGAAATAAATTGATTTTTGTCTCATCGGTAAATAGCACTTTCGCCCAATCACTTATTGTCCAACTTCGGTAGGTCCGTGCAAAATCAAGGCGCTGCTTCCGGTGCTTAGAATTCATCAGGGGTTTACGGGCAGCCCTTCTTGCATATAATCCAGTTTGATTTAATCGTCGTCTGATCGTTTCCGGCGATACAACCTTGTTAAATTGGTCCCTCATCATTTGGCTTCCATCGGTTGATGTTTTGTTCGGATCGTTTTTCACTATTTGGATCACGGCTCGATCTTCTTTTATGGTTGTGATTGGTCGTCGGCCACTCTTGAGGCCTCGATGAAGGCTTTTGATTGAGAAAAAATGCGGCGCACTGTCCATATCGAGCAATTGAAGAGGTTGGCCACATCCTTCTCCCGCATCCCATTTTCCCGGGCCTTAGCGATTTGGAGCTTCTTCGGAGTGTCAAGATTTTTCATGTCAGGAATCTAAATAATACAATAGAATACATTTAATGTTCATAGAAGGAGAAACAAAAAGAATAATCATGAAAACGATCAATGGGGCATTACTTTTGTGGAGCTAATTTTAGGGGTAATTGCACTCTTCCACATCGATCTTTTGATTGGAAGGATCTCAATCAAAAAATCCAGTTATTTAACAACTAGAATTTCTAAAGTATTTTAAAAGAAAAAAATATATTTAAAATACATGTTTTCAGGAAGAATTTTGCAAAAAATACTTTTGAATGGCAATGGGGCATTACTTTTGTGGACCACTGTATCTAGTTCTTTTCTTTTATCGTCTTGTTTAACTTATAAGTAAGCGAATAACTCTCTAATTTATAATCTTAAAAAGTTGAGTTTATATTCGATTTCGTACGCTTTTATTGTCTTGTTCATATAATTAAGTGTAGAGTTACAGTCGTCTAATCTAATCAAGCCAACGCTAATTGGACCCTTAATGAGCTACCGTAAATACCGTAAATAACCAAATGTACCTACCGTAAATACTGTAATAGTACCCCACCCCATAATGACGGCGCGGAGTGTTGCGTAGTCTGGCTTTGAACGCGTTTTTCTCGACACTGGCTTATGCTACAATGCGCGCTTAGGTATCAAAAATAGCCCTGAATTTCAGCTATTTTTTCATACCAAAGACGCATTTTATGAAAGTACGAGCGGTTTGAAAAAAATGAAATACTGAAAAACCTTTGAGACTACGCGACTGTACGATGGGGTGGGGTACTATTACAGTATTTACGGTAGGTTAAGTTTACTGTGATGGTTACAAAAATATTTTTCGATTAGCCAATTCTTATTATTTTAATATTCAGAAAGCTCTATTGTTTTCTATAAATAGGGTAAACAAAAGCTGCTAAAAGTTGCCCCAACAGCCTTACGCAATACAACGTTCTGGAAAGGGGAAAATTCAGAATTCCCCAATTTTTCCTCGTATTTTCCTAAAGAGATCCGAAGAATGATTTTTATATTATTTGATTATTTTGATATAATCGATATCAATGTGAGCTCTAATTTGGAAAACTCAAAACCCTAACGGCTAGGTAACTTCTAGACAAAATCAATATCTTTTAGGATAATCCTGAAGTCTTGGCGATAGATGGTAATCATACTCGAGCGACTTCAGAGGATGAAGATGAAAATCGGGTTTTCAATGTACGTCGGAACGGGCCTGTCCCGGTGTTGAATATGAGTTTTTGAGTTCTGGAACAAAAAACAATGCATATATGTATATACAGTGCCGGACAAAAGTTTAAGAACATGACCTCAAGTTACGGAAAAAGCTCAATATCTTTTAGAAGGTGAAGAGTTTCATTTAGGTCTTAAAAGCATTTTTGTTTGCCTCAATTTCAGGAATTAAATACATCTTATAACAGGTCACAAATCTCAATACAAAAAAGTCTTTGAGACTTTAAAGGAAATAGCCGGTATTCTAGCCGGACAAAAGTTTAAGAACAAGCATTTTTTTAATTCAATATTTCATTTTTCACTGATTTTTTTGGACATTTTTATATTAATTTTTAGAAAAAATGACCAAAACTCAACGAATTTCACCTTCTGATGTGGATACCATTGTCCGAATGAGGGATCTAAAAAAGCAAAACATTTGAGGAGATCGCTACGGCAATTGGATGAAAAAGGCACTCTGTTTGGCAATCCTATCAACGTAGAAAGAACCCGAAGCCGAGAAAGAAAATGGGAAGACCTCGAAAAACCAGTGACAAGTAAGTTTTTTTGAGATTTCGTTTTTAAATGTGCAAAATATTGCTCAGGATGAATCAACGCATCATACTAGCGTCCAAGAAGAACCCGTTTTTGACGCCTCCTGAGGTTCGTGAAGCTATTGGAGCGTCAAATGTTGATCGGAGAACAATACAAAGACGTTTGAACGAGAGTCACCTCTTTGGTCGAACTGCTGCTCATAAACCGTTCGTCTCTGTCAAGAACAAGAAAGTCAGGTTGAATTTTGCTACACACACGAGCATTGGACGGCTGCCGAATGGAAGAACGTGCTTTGGTCAGATGAATCCAAGTTCAACATGAGCAATACGGACGGAATAAAACATGTTCGTTGCCCGCCGAACACCCGAAATGACCCACGATACACTGTTGGTACAGTTAAGCATAGAGATGGTAATCTCATGGGGTGGTCATGTTTTTCATTTGACTGCCATGGATCTTTGGAGCGTGTTCAGAGGATAATAGATCAATTTCAATACCGTGGTATCATTGAGAGAGTCATACTTCCACATGCAGCCCAAAACATGCTGCGAGGATGGGTCTTTATGCAAGACAACGATCCCAAACACAGAGCAAGGAGCGTAAAGAAATGGTTTGCCGATAATCTTGTTGGTCTTTTAGAGTGGCCAGCTCAATCCTAATCCGATTGAAAACATGTGGAGTCAAGTTGAGCGTGGACTAAAACGTAAAAAAATTCGCGACCGGCGATCTTCTTTTGGACGCTATTCAACAAGAATGGAACAAGATCCCAAAAAGTTTTATTGAGAAGTTGATCGAAAGTATGCCGCCTCGTTGCCAAGCAGTGATCAAAGCTAATGGTGCTTCGACTAAGTATTGAACTTGTTAATCACTTTTGTTGCTTTAATTGTTATTTTTTTTAAATAAACTTTGTTAAACAATGCTTGTTCTTAAACTTTTGTCCGGCTAGAATACCGGCTATTTCCTTTAAAGTCTCAAAGACTTTTTTTGTATTGAGATTTGTGACCTGTTATAAGATGTATTTAATTCCTGAAATTGAGGCAAACAAAAATGCTTTTAAGACCTAAATGAAACTCTTCACCTTCTAAAAGATATTGAGCTTTTTCCGTAACTTGAGGTCATGTCCTTAAACTTTTGTCCGGCACTGTATTTGGAAAACCCAAAGGTATGCTTTACTATATATCATACTAGTATTTCAGAATGCTCTAGAGGCTCCAGAAGGTATTAACGAGAACAACGGGCCCTTCGATGAATGCCCAAATAATTCGGTTCCAGTATTGAATGTGAGTTTTCGTCTTAATAAAATCATTTTTCGATGTAAGTTGATTTCCAGACTATACCAATACTTTTTAGGATAATCCGGAAGCGCCACTAATCAGCGAAGTGCAATTGCCAGTGCTCCCGGTGGTCAATGATGAAAACGAAGTCACTGATGGACGTCCAACATTTACCTTGGGTGTAAGTTTTAAGTTTCAATATAAAAGTATTACCAAAAGGCTTTGGTTTCAATAGTAGGCTGAAAACCAAGGATTTGGCTTTGTATTATTGCCAGATAGTTAAAAGCAATTTTTAGGATGAGCGCGAGGTCCCCGTGATCGATGATGGCAATGAGTGCTCAAATGCTACAGGGATTCAACCAAATGAAAACGAGCCCGACCAGTCAGGTGCCAATGAACCGGTTAGTGAAAATTCTTACTTACTGACAACATTCTTTGTTATTTGTGCTGCCAATAAATCTCAAATACAAACCAATTAAAAGTCCCTATTGACTTTTGACTTAACTTGGAGAACTAAAGTAAGCTTAAAAAAAATTAGGCTTTTGAAAACCATTCACTGATATTTTTTAAATAGACAGTTTTCCAAATGAATTTCAAAATTACTGTTTTCAGCCTGCAATCGGCAATGTGGAAAATGGTTTGGTCGATCAAGATATAGTGTTAGATTTCTCTGTTCTTGATGCAGACTTACCGTCAGAAAGACCCCCGATATGGGGTGAGTTCTTGAGTGATTTTATTGGAGTTCTTCTTTCATTTTCATTAGAAAACCCTTTTTGTCAGCTAACCTTATTCTGAAGGAAGTTTAGCCCGGTTCTCGGACCTCGTAAGCGTCGATTTGGCCAACGTTTTCAACGGCTATTTGAAGATCACGGGTGATTCATTGAATTCTCAACAATCAACATAACAGAAAAAAGTTTAGGTGGCATTACCGACAAGCGATCCATGAGCATAACAATCGAGAAAGAAATTGAAAAGGAAATGTCCTTATCGGTAGTAAAGTACGATCCGGGGCTCGTCGTTTCGTTTATCAACCGAAAACCATGTTCAAGGGTAAGCTAATTTAAGGAAAGATTATCAGTATAATTTTCAGCCTTGCGAGAAATTTGAAGATTCCCACGGTAATAAATTTACCTCTACTGTTTTGGAAATTCGTGCCCCTGCGGATGCGGTGAGCACGTTGCTCAATTACAAAAAGGTGGGCTTAACGATTCTTCCAATAGAAACTCGCTTTCAGCCAGGGAAAAGTGAAAATAAGAAAATTTTAATTTCACTGCAAGAAACCCGATTTGAAATAAACAAAAAAAGATTACCATGACCTGAGATTCTAAATGTTTAGGAGAAAAACGAATTCGGAATGATGTTGTTGAAGCTCAGAGTTGGTGAAGAAGTAAAACTTGGATACATTCGATTTGATTGGGACCCGATAAACAGGTTAATCTTGCAAACTAGTGGAGAAAATGTTTTGTTTAGTCCAGATTAGACTAGCCCCTGATGCTCACGGAACCTACAATCACCGTAATACCTGTAATAGTAGCGTCCACGCCCGTAAAGTCGCGTAGTCTAACACACAATTTTGTGACGCTCGTTTCTCCACGCTGCTTCGACAAAAAATGTGCGCTTAGATATCAAAATATAGCACTTGAAGGAAAGAATTTTTTGGTACTAACAGTTTATTAGAAAGCTGGGCATGATTTAGAAAATGATTTACTTTAACGATTACGCAACTATAAGTCATTATGGGGGTGATGCTACTATTATAGGTATTACGGTAGGCTTGCTTTAAGTAATCTGAAATACGCTTTACCTATATAAATATTTAAACTTTTCCTAAACAGTAATAAGTGTTTCAGCAAAACCATCGTGCCGTCCTTTTACAACTATTAGGTTGATGCAAAAGTCTTTTTGTTCCTTTTCGTCTGCCGTTTCAAGCCAACAAATGCACCAATTAAACTACGGTTGATTTCATTAGAAAAACCAATTATTTTTCTGCAAAATAACATTAAAACGGGTTTAAAAATATTTTATGCCTGGATTTTCTTGAGAGTATGAAGTCGGGTAGTCAAAAAGGGCTAACTCGATGATGCGGTTTAGACACCTTAGCTAAAGAAAACCTATCTTCGTGTCAATAGATAAAAGATAGAGAAAAAAAAGTTTGATATTTCGCCAAAATCTCAGAGAAATTCATTCAGCCAATTTTTCCGTAGAGTTTTTATAGATTTTTACGAAAAAGGCGTTTTTCACTCTCGAATTTGCTTGAAAGTGAACCGAAATTGATTTAAAAGATGGAAATTGAACAAAAAAACACTTTTTTTATAGAGCAAACTATAGATTAATTGGTGAATTTGTTACTTTTTAACAGAAGTACGAAAAAAACGAAAAGACTTATGCATCAACCTAATACCATTTACAAATGGGCGTGCTGAAAATCACGAAAAACAAGAAAAATCGTTTGGAAAAGAGAAATTGTTATGATAGAACCCGTTATAATGGAAAGCATATTTGCAGTCGTTTCATCTCAGGTGAGTGAATAGGAATACAATACAAATCAAATTTATCTAAGCCACTTTCAGAAGCCTACTTCGATCCAGACACCTGGTTGACGCTGATCCACTTGCCAAAGTCAGGATATTTTCTTTACGATGTGACCGTGGAAAAAAACCTTGAGAATGCGGGGCTTCGCTTTCTGTTTCGTGGTTAGCGCACGCTTACGACAATGCTTCATACGGTGGGGCTTTTCACCACAAGCCGTAAAGCAGATGCCTAGTTATTAGCAAAACAGTGGTTCGACTCGCACAAATTGACAACTTTTGTTTAAGATTCCAGTTTTCAGCACGCGTTCACGCTGTCGCAAAATGAAGAGGATCTATTTGGGATCAACTTCGGAAATCCGCGCACAAGGGACGGACTGATTGAGTGGCTCGGGGTAAGTTATCATTCAAGATCAATTAATCGTATTCCATAGGACGGCAATGCTCTCCGAGTGAACATCAACCTGCTTGAGAGGAAATTTGGAAAAATGAAACATACCATTCGATTTGAACTGCGACTTGAAGGGTTTGTTTTTCCATTAAAAATAACAGTCTTGGGAATCGAACCTTTGGCCCCTGGGTCTCTAATTTGAATCCTTGCCGACGGACTGTGTCTCCATCCATTTTATTGTATGGTGCTAGACTTCCTGTCAGCGAAACATCGTGAAAACCGAATCATGAGCTGATGATTGTTAAAAAATTTAGTGGTATTCTCGTGCCTACTATTAGGGGCGTGGAATTCAGCAAACGGGACTTCCTAATCCACAGCCCTTCTCGCAATCAAACTCGCAATCTTTTTTATGCTGCTCCAAGCTCGTATTCCTCAACTTCCAATATTTCTTTTTGCTAGGTCCATGTTCTCCTTTGATATCTAAATATGCTCATCTCTAAATTTATATTTGATTTTGCTATGTTTGCATTTCTCAGAAGGAGGTTGTAGTTTGATCATTTCACTTTGTTGTATTGTGACCCTCTATTCGATAATCGATAACATTGTGATATCAATCAAAGAAACTAGTCTCGATCCCTAAAATACCTCCAAATCATTGCTCATTCCATTTTTTTTTGCTCATCTTTTTGCTCATCATTGCATTTGTTTCATTTACACTTACCATTAGACCAGTTTGCCAATATCAATGAAATTTGATGGCATAGACTATTATACAGGGTGCGGCAGGATTATTGGAACGTCCTGAGGGCATCAATGTCAGTTCCAACAACTATCTCGGCATACTTAAGAAAGATCTTCTTTACTGGCGCCAGCAGCATTTCCCTGTTTTGGTCACCTTTAGTGACCACCCTCAAGTGCCGATCTTAAGCCGATGGATTTCAGTGTTTGGAATGTTTTTGAAGCAAAAGCGTGCTCAAAACCACGTTCCAGCATCGATTCGCTTAAGAAATCTCTTGAAGAAACATGTGATAAACCCTAACCCGCTTACCATTTGGCGACGGTGGATGCATTTCCCAAATGTCACCAGGCCTGCATTTCTGCCCATAGAGATCTTAAAAGGAAATGGTTTTTCTTGTTTAATTTCTCTTTAAAAATCAATTGTTAAAGTTTTTGAGTTGATTTTTTTATCGGTTTCTATCCTTCAAAAAATATTGGTTGCAATCATCCTGCCGCACCCTGTATTTAGGCACTGATACCTTTTAACTTTGGATTTTGTCGGCAAATTCAATAAAGTTTTTATTCCAATATTTCAACTTAACCGATTTTACTCTGATTCAACTAATTCAGAAAACTAAATAACTTTTATCGTTTCTATTTCAAAAATGATGATAATATTGAATGATAGTACAGATTAAGAATAAAAAGTGTCGACACTGTATGACTTGAGAGATATTTTATAGAAACAACACGAAAAGCCTATGTGCACTCCAAATAGACGAGAAACGAGAAACAAGAAACCAGACATGAGCCTTGATTGGGAGAATCATTATATATGTTACATCCTAGTCCGACCACAATCCGATAAATGCCAATTGATCCCGCTTGATGCATCGAATTTTTTATAATTTTTCAACTATGATAGTTTCACCCACGCAAAATTTAAGCTAAGAAATTTATTTTCGTTTACCAGGTAGATTATTTTTTTGGTTTTTCTAGTTCACATTTTTTATTTTTGCTTTTAGATAATGGCAGAGAGGTTGCAAATAAACCCTTGGAAGAAGTCGTCGCTCAATGGCCTGGTTGCAAGATCGTTCACGGGAAACCGCGCCATTCGCAGTCACAAGGAAGTGTAGAGCGAGCAAACACGGATATCGAGGTTAGTTTGACTGCTCATAAAAATACTTGTGATCGTTTAGGATATCTTGAGCGTTCATCAAAGAGAAACAAAAACTACCGCGTGTGCCCGATTTTTGCCCTTGATTCAATATCGTAAAAACATCAGGTAACTGTAGTTTTTTGGACATTTACATTTTATCGATAGATTTCATTCTGGTATTGAACGTAGCCCATATGTCGCAATGTTTGGACGAGACTCTGAAAATGCTTATTTTACTAAGGAAGAAGTAAGGTTTGAAATATTTGTAGGTCTGGAATATTTGCAGTAAACTGTGTGGTTTAGGTTTTGTCAGACGACGACGAAATCCAGCAAAAAAGTGCCTACGAGGAGGAGGAGAAAACGCTTCAGGTTAATTTAAATTAATTTTTTTCTTTATTTGCAACTTTAGGAAGATAATTCTACTCGTTACGCCGATCTACGACTTGTAAGCTTCATGGATTCAATTGAGAGTGGTGTTGAGGTATAAATTACGTTCTAAATACATAAAAATAACGTTATTATTTAGAAATTTCCTGAATTCGCAAATCAGGGGAATAATGACGCCTACTTTCAACTTGGGATTGTTAGTCCAGTGCTTGGTTTGCCTTTTAAAATATTTACTAAACATTATTTGGCTTTAGGTGTTCAAAAAGATGAGGAGCAAGCGGAAATCGATTGTCTACACGATTCGATTATGATAGAAAGACATGGAGCCCATTCTGCTCAAAAGAATCAGGCATGAAAGATGCTTTACACCAGTGTACAAAGCTACTTTTGCGTTCTCAATGTGTTCATTATGATTACTTTTAGATTTGCACCAATTGATCTTGGACAAAATGTTTTGATGCCAATTCCTTGTGTCGATCGACCCAAGATTGGACCACGAAATTAATTTGATGAGAGTCGTCACAGGTACTCTTAAATTTATTTTTAAATGTAAAAAGAAATTCTAGCTGTAACTGATGGTTTTTACTCGATCGGGACACAAAACATTCGGCAAACATTCACTTGGAATCAACTGGCTCCATGTGGAGCTGAATTCCTCTCGATCAATTCAATTCCGGACGGGGAGACATCGTTGAGAACTGCTGTTGGGGCAGCATCGATCTCTGGGAGCCAAGGTAGGCACATTTATTTGCACTTATAATCTTTCTTGTTAATCTTTCTTTTTTCTTTTTATAAATTCAAATGTTTTTACCTCAGCTAAATTATTATAATTTTAGGTCACGCTCATTGCTTGTGGCTGAGCGGATGTACGACAAATCGATGTGCTTGTCGAAAGAAGAGTCCACTTTGCGACTCGAGATGCCACCATGCAAGAAGTTGTACTAACAAGTGATCTTTTTGTATCTTGCTGTTTTCTGATTTTTCTGTTAATATTATTTATTGTTAATAAGTTAATAAATTTATTAGTTTGCAAATTCATGATCAACTCATTGAATCAATAGCTTTCGGTGTCTTTTCCACTTCTTTAACCCAAGGTAACACGTCGGCTGAATGGGCTTTACTTTTTGAAAATTTTAGAAACATTTACCCGTTCCCCACATTGAAAAAATCACACCGCCGATCATTTGAACAAGAGCACTCGCGCATAAACATATCGTCCATTTGTTCTCGATTTCCTAAATCAGTGATCAGTGAATCAATGATCAGTGAATTAATGAACAACAATGGTCTTTTGAAAACGATTCTGTTTCTTTCTTGACACTTTACTTACTAAATAGTTCATCAACACTAGCAACAATGGTCCGGCTGGATTTCCAATTGTGCCCAATATCGAGCCAGTTCGTTGTTAACATTCTTAATTTAGCAATGAAATAGTTTGAGAAACATGGCGTGTGATAGATCGCAATGATACTGAATTTCAATAACTTACCAAAAGACACGAGTTTATGGTTATAGTTTATGAGTTCACAGTCTCGAAAGTGAATTAGGTACAGTTCATTTTATATAGTATGTATGTGGCAAATTTTTATGTAGTAAATCCTCGTTAATAGATAAATTTCGATAATAAACTATTAAGATTCGCCTACTACTAAAGAAATGTGCTAACAACGAGCTTTAATTTGCTTCTACAAACTTTCTTTCTTGAGATTGTGCATTAGCAACTGTAGATTTTCTAGATCCAACGAACCATTTACATTTCTTTCTATATCCTGCTAGCTTTTCATCCTTTGGTGTAGAATTGAACCCTGAAAGACAGCCAAAAATTTATGAGAGAAATTGAGAAAGTTTACTTTCAATCCATATTTTAAAAAAACCAGTCCAAACGACGAGTCCAAACGACGAGTCCAAACGAAGAAGAAAGGAGATAACGCCATTTCAAGGCAATAAAATGTTTTGAAGATAATAAAATGGAATTGTGTTTGGGGTCTGCTGTGAATTTTGAATTCAGAAGGATTGTTTGGTGATGAGATGATCTTTTTTTCAAGAGTTTGAAAGTTTTGGCATCGGTATCAATTTAAAACATTGACAAGTCAGTTTCATTTCAATCCGTTTTGAACATTTCAATCCGTTTTGAAGGCAGTAAAATGAAATTGTGTTCCGGGTGGTCTGCGGTGAACTTTGAGTTCAAGAGGGTTGTTTGGTGATGATTTGGGGTTTTATTTGAATAGTTTGGAAGTTTTGGGATCGTCAATTTGAAACCATTGACAACTAACGTCTACGGCAAATTTGACATCGTTAAGCCAAGAATTAGTGTCAAGGCAAAAAACAAAACTTTTATGTTTGAAATACAAGACACGAGTACTCCAAGGCTTAGCTTGTTCAGTGTTTAGTTTGACATCGTAAAGCCAAGAATTGGCGTAAAGGCAAAAATTGGTCATTCTAAAGAAATGCCGAGGAGCGAACTGTAGTTTTTTTTATTTCGGATTTTCCACAATCCTTTAATTTTGCCCGATTTTGCATTAACAAAAGACTATCTGTGTATAAATTACATTAGTTGTGAAAAGATGCTGCATTAAAACACGCCACCCATAGGAATTCCCAGAAACATCCTCGTCCAAAAGCATTGCAATTTCAAAAAGCAATGGGATCCATTAAACTAGAAACTACGGTGTCTCCAGTGACCTTTGGACATTCCCTCTTTCAAAAGTCAACAGTTCCCGATCCATTTTTTGCCCCGATTTTCATGCCTTTATCTATCATGAGGTTTTTACTGGTATTTCATTGGACTTTTTTTGGTAGGCACGGGTTTTGAAATCAGATCATGTCTCTTCACAAGTTGTTTTTCAGGTTCACTCTACTATTGAGGTCAATAAGGAAATGATTAAAATGGGGGTGAGCCAAACCGAGTTGACTTACACACGAAAAAATAGGTTGAGGCAAGTTTCGAGCATGAGCTTCCGCCCACAAGATCAAGGTCCTGAAAATATAGAGAATCTATATATCTTTATTTTGCTTAAAAAAGTAAAAACAATTCTTATTGAAAAAGCTGTCAAATGGTTTTTGAGTTTCGTGTTTTAGACGACATAATTTCCAAGCAGTTCAAATCGACTTTTTCTGATATGAATTTGGCCGATAATTTTATTGAAAATGTGAAAAACTAAGTGCTTTGTTTCGCTTGAAAGAGTAAAATTAGTACTTTTCAAAGAATGCCGTAAAGCCGCGCTTCTCTCTTTTTTTCGATTTTTTTTATTGCACCTCGGAAAATGTTTAAAAACAAAAGCTTTCAAGAATTCCGGTTATATCTGGTACAATCAGGTATCTTCCCGAATTATTTCACACAGTCAAGTAATTGTTTGTTTTTTGAAATTGACTGGGGAATGATTGATCTTACAACGCTCAAACTCTAGCGACTATTTCAGGTGTTAGTGGCAAAATTTCTGACAAAATTGAATGAAGTATTACATTTCCCTAATAGCAAATATCAAATCAAACCCCCTTTCATTCATTCTTTCTTGAAGAAATGAACGCTGAAAGAGCCATAAAAAAATCACGAGAGAAATTGATAAGGCGATTTCAGTCTATTTTGAAGCTAATAAAATGAAATTGTATTGCGTGTGGTCTGCGGTGAACTTTGAGATCAAAAGGGTGATGAATTGATGTTTTGTTTGAAATGTTTGGAAGTTTTGGGATCGTCGATTTGAAACCATTGACAAGTAACGTCTACGGCAATTTTGACATTGTTAAGCCAAGAATTAGTGTGAAGGCAAAAAACAAAACTTTTATGTTTGAAATACAAGACACGGAATCTTCAAAGCGAGCCTAGGGGACAGCGAGATTACGGTAGTTTTTCTGTGACTTCAGAAAATTTCAGAAATAGTATTCGTAACAGCTAAACCTAGTAGTAAATTCTGCGGATTTCGATAGAAAATTATTTTGTTTAATCTGCTAAAAATACCATTGATCTGAAGAAATGCCGACGAGCGAATTGTAGCTTTGGTTGTTTGGATCTTCCAGAACTTCTGGATCAAATCCAAGGCGATTCGTTAATTTTGAACGACTATTCATTAACAAGAAGAACATTGTGTACAACGCACATTAATCGTTCAAAATCAACGAATTCTTGGTTTACTGAATTAAATCCAGAAGTTGTCGAAAATCCTAAAAATCAAAGCTACACTTAGCTCTTCGGTATTTCCTCGGATTGTTGAATTCTTCGTGACTTTCAAAAACCGCTTTGTTAACGAAATCCGCCAACTAACAAGATTAACCTGGTTTAACCGTTAACAATACATTTTCTCAAATTTTCTAAAGTTTCATAAAAACTACGGTAACCTCACCATCCTTTTGCATAGTTATTCAAGCTAAGCCTTGGAGTACTCTTGTCTTGCATTTTAAAAGTAAAAGCTTTGATTTTTGCCTTGACACTAATTCTTGGCTTAACGATGTCAAATTTGCCGTAGACGTTAGTTGTCAATGGTTTCAAATTGACGATCCCAAAACTTCCAAACTATTCAAATAAAACCCCAATTCATCACCAGACAGCCCTTTTGATCTCAAAGTTCACCGCAGACCACACGCAATACAATTTCATTTTACTGCCTTCAAAACGGATTGAAGTGTTCTTATCAGCCTTCTTCTTCTTCGACTTTGGAGTCGTTCCGCACTCGCTTTTTTCTAAATATGGATTGGAAGTGAAGTTTCTCAATTTTTCTCGTGATTTTTTTATGGCTCTTTCAGTGTTCATTCCTGCAAATGAAAAGCTTTCTGCAAATGAAAAGAATGAAAAGATTGGGGTTTTGATTTGATATTGCGACCCGTCTATCAGGGAAATGTAATACTTCACTCAATTTTGTCAGAAATATTGCCACTAACACCTGAAATAGTCGTGAGAGTTTGAGCGTTGTAAAATCAATCATTCCCCAGTCAATTTTGAAAACTTACAGTTACTTCACTGTTGGAAATACTTCAGGAAGATACCTGATTCTAACAATATATTAAGGTCTGAAAAAAATACCCGGACTAACGACTTTATGCAAAGGATCACCGAAGACAGTCTAGTTTTCAATTCAATTCACTCAGAGATTAAATGTCTTTTACCATAAATAATCCTTCAACTAATACTTTAGTTCATTATGTTGACCTTGGTAATATCAAACGCATTGATTTTTGAAGTGAAATATTATTCACGTCTATAGGACTGTTTGTAGGATCTAGAAAGTCTGCAGTTGCTGAGGCACAATCTCAAAAAAAAGCGAAAATTTGTAGAAGCAACACTAAAGCAAAACTGATTCCAAACCATGAACGGGTGAAATAGGAAATCTTGATATTTACTAACGAAATCTTTCTGTTAACGAGGATTTACTATAAGCTTAACTGTGCTTAATACACTCTCTAAACGGTGTATTAAGAGGTTTAGAGAGTTTATTAAGCACAGTTAAGCTTTATAGTAAATCCTCGTTAACAGAAAGATTTCGTTAGTAAATATCAAGATTTACTATTTCACTGCTAAATTAAGAATGCTAACAACGAACTTTAGTTTTGTTTCTAAATCCTTTTTTTAAGGTTGTGCCGTAGCAACTGTAGACTTTCTAGATCCTACAAACAGTCCTATAGATGTGAATAATACTTCACTTCAAACCTCAATGCGTTAGATATTGCCGAGGTAAACATAATGAAGGATTATCTATTCAAAAAGACATTGAATACCTGGGTGAATTTAATTGAAAACGACAGTTCCTTTATAGTTCCTTTGCAACCTTTGCATACTCTCTCCTTGCAAAAGCTACCATAAGCTCGTTGTCTTTTGGTAAACTTATTCAAATTAAGCCTCATTTCGATCTCACGCCATGTTTATCAAAGAGGACGTTTTGAATTTGATGCGAAAACTCCGAAACTTTTCAAACAAGCAATCACCAATTCATGGCCGTCTAAATAAACCTTTTTAACCCA